GGTTGACTCAGCCTTTTATCCTTCTGAGGTTAGTAAAATGATGACCCAGATTGTTAGGGGCAATATTGAAATAATGCTTCTACCTTGTAAACTGCCCAAAGAGTCCTATAAAGCAGTGTTTCTCAATCTTGGCAACTTGAAGACGTCTGGACTTCAACTCCCAGAATTCCCCAGCCAGCGAATGCTGGCTGGGGAATTTTGGGAGTTGAAGTCCAGACGTCTTCAAGTTGCCAAGATTGAGAAACACTGCTTTATAGGACTCTTTGGGCAGTTTACAAGGTAGAAGCATTATTTCAATATTGCCCCTAACAATCTGGGTCATCATTTTACTAACCTCAGAAGGATAAAAGGCTGAGTCAACCTTGAGTCCCACCAGGATCAAACTCCAGGCTTTGGGCAGGATTTGCCTGCAATATTGCATTCTAACTACTGCGCCATCAGGACTCCTCCATGAGATGTCTATCTCAACCGCTTACAAACACTCTCTCTCTTTTGTGGATTTCAGACATGCTTTACCCTGGGGACATCTTTGTCATGGTCCTCTTCATTATTCTCTACACCCATAAAATATGATCCATGTTGACATCCCCTACGCCAGGGTTCCCCAATCCCCGGGCTGCAACCTGTTCAGAATCGGGCCGCGCAACTGGAGTAGAGCAGGTGCTTGTGCTCACAGTTCCATCTGCATGCGCAGCAGGCATCACGCTGGCGCGCAAAAGACTCGGTTTGCCTGCCATTCACACGGAACCATCCCCTCTCCGTCCTGCCACTCCGCCAAGCCAGAAAGATTGGGGAGTGCTGCCCTACGCTCCTGCCTTATCACTCCCTGTTCCTGAAGTATAAATACTCTGACTCATGCTCTCCTTCTCCTACCCCTATACACCTCTTTACCATTCTGCATACATTTATATTCTAAACAATTATGTGTCTCTGGTACCTAAGTACAGCCCATGGAGCTTTTCTCAAGACAGAATGGCCATTGCCCTGTTGTTCTTCGGGTGAGGCAGGATGGCAGGAGTTCCATGTCCCCTTGTGAGCCACTCGATGCTTCCCATTTTCCCGGCTGGACGATGGAAAATGTAAGGGGGTTTGTAGAGAGACTGCGGGTTGCCGAGCCATCTTCTCATGTAGCCCTCCATCTTTTCTAATAAACAAAGGAATTAGAAACTTGCATTAGTAAGAAAGAATTCTGTCTTGTTCTCAAGGAGAAAAAGCTTAGCAACAACACTTGTTTAGCATACTACCAGGGGTGGGTTCCTGCCAGTTCTAACCTCTTCTATAGAAGAGGTTCCACAAATATACAGTGCCGTTTAGAACCGGTTCCAGCTCCCTCCTCCTGCCCGTCCCCACATCATCAAGATGAAGAGTGAGAGGAATTCTAGGAGTTGAAGTCCACAAGTCTTAAAGCTGTCAAGTTTGAATACCCCTGGTTTTTTTTTTCTAAAGGGTTAGGGG